TTCTTTCTTTCTTTCTTTCTTTCTTTCTTTCTTTCTTTCTTTCTTTCGGCAATTGGGATTAAGTGACTTGCCCAGGGTCACACAGCTAGTAAGTGTCAAGTGTATGTTATGAGGTGGTATTTGAACTCAGATCTTCCTGACTTCAGGGCTGGTGCTCAATCCACTGTGCCACCTAGCTGTCCCAGATTTGTTCTTTATTTAAACCAGTAGTTCCCAACTTGTCGGCTAATGATCACTGTAATTATTGCAAAGTGATCTGAAAATCTATGTGTCTCTTAGCATTGTCATTTAATTTTTATGTAGCTCCAATAATATGCAGCTTGATAAGGTGATATATTGGGAACCATATTTTCTGTAGAATGAATGATGACTTCTACATATATGTATTTATATTTTCAAATGTCTATAAATGCTATTATAATAAATAAAGATAAATTCATTTAAAAATGTAATTGAATACTTAGTAACTTTTTATTGATTTTAACATAGAAGAGAAAAATAAATAAAAAACAAAATATTTTACATGAAATTATATAGCACAATGGAATAATTGCTTATAGTGGCTTTTTATCATCATATTTTTTTTAACCTGTCAAAAATAGTACAAGTGCTATTAAGTCTTCTTCATCCCTTGGGAGCAGATGGAATATCTATGGTCAGTGTGTGAGACATGTGCAATTGTTAGTGAATTTTCCCCTGTCCAAAAATTCAGATGGTTGTTGAAGTAATTCTTTCTCCTTTACTCTTTCCTCCTTCCCTTTTCATCTGAAAGGACAGATGACAAAATACAGAGCTTTTTGTTCTTTTAAGTTATTTATTTACCAATTGTACTTTAAAGTCATGTTTTGCTACATAAAGATAATGTCAGCCTTAAATGCTTTAGATTTCTATATGTCTTTAATTATATGTAGTGATGCAAATGGTGAGCTGGAAACACACAGGATTTAAACAGATCCAAGATCTGAATATCTGTCCAAATGTTAAACATTTTCCTACCTGGAGGCCTGACAAGCTATATGTATGTGAGAGAATCTTATGGTGATGATTTTTTTTTTTTGGTTCTGTAGTAAGCAGGATATTTATTTGTTTGTTTATTTTTTATATTTTTTCTTTATTTTTTTAATTTTGAGTTCCAGATTCTCTTTCTCCTCCCTCCCCCACCCATTGAAAAGGCAAAAAAATACTTCTCAATTTTATATGTTAAATCATGAAAAATATATGTCCATATTAACCATTTTGCAAAAAAAAAAGGAAAAATAAAGTAGAAAATTATGCTTCAATTTACCCTCAGAGTTCATCAATTCTCTGTGAATAGTGAATAGTATTTTTTGTCATGAGTCATTTGGAACTAGGTGATGATTTTTTTGATGAATGATTTTTATTAAGCTTCCAGAAAAGTGGAGTTATTGTTTTTTTCTTTGAGGCAATGGGGGTTAAGTCACTTGCCCAGGGTCACACAGCTAGTAAGTATCTGAGCTAGATTTGAACTCAGCTACTCTTGACTCCAGGGCTGGTGCTCTATGCATAGCACCAACTAGCTCCCTCCAGGAGTTTATTTTTAAATACATTTTTATTGGTTTTTTTTTTTTGTTTTCTTACATTCAAAATTTCTCATAGTATACCTTTCTTCTTCCCTCCCAGAGGACCATTCTGTATAACAAACAGTATGCTTTGAGGAAAAAAAGAGAAAGAAGGCAGAAAAAATGAGCAAAAGTGATCAATACATCAAAAAAGCCCTTTGACAGTAAATATAATGGACTATATCCATGCGCCTTCTGGCTCTGCAAAAGAATGGGGGTGAAGACACCTTCCTATAGCTCTTCTTTGGGGCTGTGCTTGTTCTTGGTAATTTTGCAACATTTATTTTTGATTATTCTGTGATTGTTCTTTCCATTTACATTGTTGTAGTCATTGTGTATAATGTTTTCTTGGCTCTGCTTACTTTGCTCTGCAGCAGAACATGTAAATCTTGCCAGGCTTCTCTGTATTCACCATATTTGTCATTGCTTACAGTATAGTAATATTACATTACATTCGTATACCACAATTTGTTTTGCCATTTCCCAAATAATGAGCATTTACTTTGTTTTCAACTCCCCCAAAAGTGCTGCTATACATGTTTTGGTATATAAGAGGACTTTCTTCTTATCCATGACCTCCTTTGAATATAATTGAAAAGGCAGAGTTTAAACTGAATTTGGGGCTTTTCTTTTCCCTTCAGGCCAAGCAAGCTCTCTCTGTTTTGGTTAGACCAGGTCACTTTGAAGTTCACAGTCTCTGGCAAAACTTCAGCCTACAAGCCAAAAGAAGGGGTGGGTGAGTACAGGTAGGGACTAAGGGGAGGTAATGCCCTTGTGCTGACCCAGTGGGAGGAGAAAGGCATTGATTGAGAGAGATCAGCTCCACTCTTTTCCAATAGGGAGGTGAGAAAGCCCTTCTCAGACAAATTTTGCACTCTATAGTGACACTTGTTGGTTGCACCTCATTCAAAACAGTTTATGATACCTGTGGTTCCCAAACTGTGACCAGCAAACATTGTTTTTTTGAGATTTATTTAACTCCAGACAGTTGCCACAAGGAAGAAGCCAAAAGAGCCCAGCAACTGCCTTAGCTAGAAAACCTTTGGTCTCTGTGACAGATAGATAGAGGTTGAAGTCAAGGGCAACAATGATTTAGCACCCAAACTCATTATAAATCATCATAGAGAAGGATGACAAAAAATTATGAGCAGTAACAGCTCATAAACAGTTTAAAATAGTGGGTGAAAATAGTCTTCAGAAAATTTGATGTGATACACAACTAAGGAATATCATTCCAAGAGCATTCAGGAATGAAGCTGGCAGAAGGGCAATACATAATTAGATTTGTCAGACAGAATAAAATAGAACTGATGTGTCAAGGACCATAATGATATAGTTTTGCTATTGGTACTAATGGGATCATTTGAACCTTAGAACATCAATCCCCCAAAGGGTCATAAGGAGAAACTGAAATGATACTTGAGAAGACAAAGCTGTGAAGTCCACTTGCAGCAGAACTAGACCAATTAACCATATACATTGAAAGAATACATGCTAGAAATGACACAACTTGAAGGCACTGAAGAAGCATATCAAAAGAATGGAAAAAATTATAAATGATAACATTGAATCAAAAATCAAGGTTATCCATCATGACAATACAAGCAGAGAACAGGCAGATTTTTGCAAATTCCACAAACATTTATTAATCATCTACAACTTATAAAGCACTTTGTTGGAGTACAAAGACAAAATGAAAAACAGCTCTTGGCCTCAAGGTGTTTTTATTTTACTGGGGAATACAGCACATACTCTGACAAATAAGTATATGACAATTGGAGGAGCAAGAGAAAACTAACAACCAAGGGAATAAGAGAGATTTTGTGTTGGAGGTGGTATCTGAGCTGAGTCTTGAAGGAAGCTAAGCATCTTAAGAAATGGATATGAGAATATTTTTTTTTTAACCGCAGACAGTCTTCACAGTCTGATCTTGCAGAGTATTCAG